CCTGTTTTCTTGATTGAAACGTGATGTTCGCGAAAGTCGCCTCGATGGATAAGACACAGTTAATACACATAGCTGTGTTATTTGTTCTTTGCTGAGTCCCGTAGTTTTTTGTAAATTGTCCTCCAAAGTTGTCTCAAATTTAAGTCTTAAAAAGTGTCACGACAGGCCTTCGCTCGATTGAAATTTCGTTTCCGTAAAACTCTGAAAAATAAAGAGATCCGATCAAACGGATTGTGGTTTTAGTATAAGTACATGAATATCTTACAACACACAAGAAATGAGCTAAATCTGTGTCTCAAGAAAAATCGACCGGACCGCTCTTACAGAGACACTCTCTTAACAAGGGATAATTAAAGATCCCTCTGTTGAATTATTAGCAAAATGGTGTTAACTTGTGAGAATCGTTACAAGGTTGTTAAATGCAAATTGAACAGAAAGTCTAATGACTAGATTTTCTACAAATAAACAAAACCGATTTTAAAGGCCTGTTTATATTTATTCATTTATTGCCATTGCAATTATTTATATTTATTGTCATAATTTATATTTATTGCCATGGCAACGGCACATACGTCAGCTTAACCATCAAGAAGCCAAAGTTTGTGTCGTTAACTTGCTTGTTGCCATTTTTTGGCGACCGAGGGATCAAGGGATTTAGAAAAAAAAGGTGAATGAAACACAGGTATCAAAAACTGTGTGCAGCCACCTAAAGGAAACATTCCCGAATGCGTTGTGACAATTTTAAGTTTAAAAAGTTTATAATTAAAACGGTTGAGTTGCCTGAATTGAAATTCTTGTACTCCGATGTAAATTTAAACACGTGAACTTATAATTGAAGAACCTGCAAAAAATTTAATCTGTTTGTAGTTCTCTCAAACGTTCTCCCATGTCCACATGGGACTATGTAAATCAGAAGCCAGCAATTTTCTATTTCCGTTCACTGTTATTTAAAGTTAAAGCCTTCAGAAGTATTTTAAATTAACTTTGGTAGTTTAGTTATTTTGGTTTCAACATACCTCATGTCTCCATGTTTCTTTATGATCGCACAAACGAGACAATTTCCAACGATGTTTATCACGACGAGTATAGAGTGTACCGTTGCTATGGCAATGCCAGATGATTGAAGCATGACTGAATGTTGTCGATGTTACTCAGTCGCGAGGCCTTCTAAGTTTAATAAAGAGAAAAGGAACAATGAATTTCTGAGAGCTTAGGTAATCACTGGTTTAATGCGAGAGGTAGTAAAAGTGGAGAGGAAACATCAGACATTCATAAGATTGTATGCCACCTTAT